GTTTATAACACTAGAGGCTGAGCGGGTCGGAGCAGACGACGCATCGAGGTAATAATGTCATCGGGAGGCCTTTAGCGCTCCCGAGAGGACTATTGACAAGAGAGAGCAGACACTATTCAAAGATGCTGGCGCCGATCTCCGAGGGAACCAATCACTGGGCTCGATTGGTGTGGTCTGGCTCGAACCGGAGGCGGGTAGTTCGATGCGGGCTCCGAGAGCATGAGGGTTCAGCAACTCTCGAAGATTTTCCCCCTGATCCTCGGGAGCAAGGCTCATCTAGAATGCGCATTCCGTAGGTTCCTGGAAGACACCACCGCGGTAGTTCCGATCGGCGGGGGCGCTGCCTTCTCTTCTCTGCGCAGAGCGTTGCTGGTTTCTTCGCTGACGAGTTTCCTTGGAAAGCGCATTCCAGCTCCGTTTCGCGGCGTTAGGGCGCGAAATACATAGGTCGCGCACTCCGCAAACGTAGTACCGGTGCGCCAAGCACTCGGCCATCTCCTCGGTCTTCCCTGCCGGTTGGCGATGAAGTAACGGGGGAAAGGGGGGTTTATCCGCTTGAAATGACGTGGAACCTTCCGTGTTCTGTGCCAAAGCCACCAATCGATGTGAGCTCCCGCAAACTCGTTCATGAGTCGCGGCCCTACATTCTTCGTAAGATTGGTCCTACTTCTGCTCCCCCTCCGAGATGCTGGTCATGAGGATCTGCAGGATCTGCATAAGTTGCATGCCTGCGCCGCACGTTCTCCGAAGGGGGATCGTCCCGATTGGTGACCGAAGTCTTCAATATCGGACTGAGCTTGAAGGTCTTCGATCGATCTTTCCCCAAAGTCTGGAATGGAGTGACCCTTGAGAAACCCAACGGTCTCACCGTCCCATTTGTCGGCCTCCTGTTCAGGAAAGTTTCGCATCACTCACGACCTCATCTGAGTTTCGCCGTTCGGCGATCGTGACGATTCACGGGATGAATACGACAGACGTCTCTGAACACGTGGAGCGTGGAGTGAAGACCAGATCGAAGGCAGAGACATTTCTTTCCACTCTTCTCTGATCTGTCGGATGTCTGTCGCAAAGAGAGTGTGCTAATCCTTCATCCTCAACCCTCTATCTATCTATCGCGATGCTATCCTACGGTACGAATGCGCGCGGGATGCCGGGAACACGAGTAGGTCCCGGAACGCACCGGCTCTCGCTTGCTTACACGAGCGCCTTCAAGCGCCCAGATAATAAAGAGTCGGGAGACTCAACTCCTCCATTGTCCTGCTTACTTTTCCTTCCAATATAGGTGTCAGATTCCATACAAACTCCCCGGAATGAAGGATATCGCGAATACTCGTCCAACCACCGCTGCTTGGACTACAGGACTTTTTCTGAATTCCTCTCACGAGGGAATCTATCGGCAACCAATAATGGCTGACAGCAGATAAGGGACATTGCAGGCCGCCGGCGGCCAGTCAGAGAGCCTCGCGGCCGGTAGCGCTTGCGGACCGGTCAGTCCAGGAGACAGTATTCTCTATCCGTAACTTCAAGGAGAGCCTCTCCGCACTTCCTATCGGTCGGTGATTGGTCGTCCCTCCATTCTCGCGAGAGGGTTTCGAAACGAGTCAGATCTGTCCTCGGCGTGATTGATTTTCGCAGCTTCCAGCTGGAAAATCTGAGTGAAGCTATCAATCACGAGGAGCTCTCCTATCCTCTCATCACGCGGGAGATTCCCTGCGACTGAGATTGAACGAGCATGACACGGCGAGGCATCCCCGGAAACGAGGAAAAGTTGATAGGGAATGCCTTATTTCCGAGGAGAGACGGTGAACCTAGCAGCAGTCCAAGAACTTGGTCTGTGGCTCGCCTTCGACAACCCGTGCCCGTTGCCGTCCCTTTCCAGCTAACCATTTTTGAAGCCATTCCTGAGCGTCGAAGCGAGAGACGCTATCGACGGTGAGTTTTCGCTCCATATGACATTATCCCTCCCGCTCGTTCCGAAACCCCATCCTTTGCCAGGGCTCACACAACTTGCGAGAGGGCGTTTTTCTTCTCGAAAAAAAACAGTTTCCTTGCCGGATCACACAGATCGTACAAAGCCTCGTGGATCAGGGAAGGTTCCCTGTTTGCCGCTCGATTTCGAAGGCTGTAATTCCCACAGATTGCTCATTTGGAGCCGGGCGCCCATACGCAGGGGAAAGAGTACGAGCGGAAGGAAGACCGAGAATGTATTCCAATGCCGTTCGTATCCTGCTAAGATTCGAGACCCTCGTCGACTTCTCGTGGCCGGTCACGTACATCGGACGATTCTTGTTCTGGGAGTCTCCCTCATCGCGGAGAAAAGGCAAAACATACAAAAAAGCTGGAAGCAATAAACGGTCCTGAATTTTCTAGGTATGCTCGACGATTCTTGCGAGCGCATTCAATGACAAACTATTTTCTTCCAGGTCCGTAGTCTGAGATCGGGCCATGGAGTCGGGAGGAGGCCCTTCTTCTCCCGGCGGATGCCTCCTCTCTGATACGCTTTCCTCAAATACTTTTTCATCGAGGTCCGAGAACCAGAAATAATTATTCCTCTCTGCTCTCTACGAGCTGACGGCTGAGATTCATTCGAGCGAATGCGACCACAACGTCAAGCTGTTCCGATTCGGGAGAGAGAGAGCCGGGGGCATGAGAATTCCAGATTGATCGCTAGCAGATCCGAAGCCGACGTCGTTTTAGAACAAGCCTGAGGGAATGTGAGCCACTGCAGCAGTCCCAGATGCGAGCCAGTGTCGTTCATACCTGTTCCTCTAGATATCATGAAATCATGAGCAATCCGCTGACGGCACGGAGAACGCACTCGACAGGGACCGGATCGAATGAGGAGAGAGGAGCGCGGGTCGAAATTATTGGGAACAAGGGAACGTTTCAATGGACATTCGTCATATATCCTACTCGACGCGAACATATCGCTGGAGTTGTACGATGGACTGGATCTAATATTGAGAGAAAAACTTCATGCTCCAATGAGACCACCCCGTTCAGGGAAGATTACTTATCAAAGGAGATTGTCACATACCACTGAGAACGGAGCATCTCCATAGAAGATTGTTCGAAATCAGGAGGAACATTGGCGAGAGAAAGGCGACCGACCGAAGCAGGACCATCGCTTCGATTAGGCTCCGTTTTTGGATTCGATATGGGAGCGACCACGGTGCCAAGGGCTCCATTGGACGTCATGATCTATGTATGGTCTGAACGAACTTCCTGCGTGACTCGGATCTCATCGGTTTGGGACGACACAAAGAAGTCTTCTCACACCTCACGTCGCTCCGATCAGTCGCGTCCCCGTATCCGCCCCCGTGCGACGCCGGCTCTCGTTCTCTATTAACACGCAGCCATTCATTGTGTCGCAAATTACAGCGCCCCTCGCTGGCCGACTGGATTAACCGCCCCCCGGTCTTTCAGCGCAGACCGTTGATACGGGACGGGCTCGAACGAGCGGCATCTCTCAATCCATTATTTTCATGCCTCGGGGAAGTGGTTCTGATGAATTCCGGCGGACTATTCATCAGCTCGTCGGATGTCACCGAAATTCGGTGGGTCCCGCGAAGCCGTTGTGAGATTCGCCTTTCTAACCGAGCTCGATATTGGAGTCGCGCCTGATTCTCGAATTCCGGCCGATAATGGTCTCGGGTGCTTTCGATCCGTGAGGAGCAAACGCCGCGTGGAAGCGATCACGTAGCTCACCGGCGCGCCCGCAGCAAAAGAAACGACACTTGCTCGCTTCGGGTCTCGAACGTCGCGTGGAGCTTCCATGGATGGAATCGCAGTCGACCGCGAGGGAGCAGCTCAAGCTGCCCGAGTGAGCCACCGTCATATTCCATCGCGGCGGTCCAGGATGTGAAAAAAGGACGGGATCGGAGCGAGCGCCCTCGGATGAGGCTCGGGGGCTGGCTTCGTGAATCTCGGCACGCCGCAGGATTTCCCAGGTAGGGTCCTATTCCGGGGAACTTTCGCCTTACTTCCTTTCTCGAACGCGTGGAATCGAAGGAGAGACTCCGGGAAACCCCGGAGGAACGGGTCGAAGGTTCCAAGAGCTCCGAGCCCAAAATCCCGGGGCTAAGAGAGAAGCTGGAGCCCCCGGCCTTTCTCGGTGTAAGGGGAAATCGTTCAAAACCTAGGAGGTAAACGTTGGTTACACCTCACCCCTATGCCCCGCCCAATCGCCCGATTACCCCCCCCCCCCAGAAATGATGCCTGCCGGATTCTCCATCGATGACAGTGAGGCCAGTTCTCCGAGAAGCTCTGGGACCGGCAGAATGGTTCGCCGACTAATTGTAAGAGCTCGGTCCCGAGAGCAACGTGGACGTCTCGCGTTTCGAGCTGCCTGATGCTCAACTCGGAGGGAACGGCTGGATTCGCCAATCAGCTTCGCAGCGGATACCGCAGGAGCTAGGGCAAGAACTGCCGGGCATCGGACACAGTACACTGGCGGGGATATCGAATGATGGTCGTATCGATATTGTGCTGCTGCTTTCGCAACTACTGCAGCCGAGGCTTACCGGAGGAACTCGAGCTTTCGGGAACCTCAGCCGAGCTCCGTCCGATATGCACGTCTGCCTGACTCTCTCAGCAGAATGAAGCTGGCTGCCTCAATATTCAGCTCACTTCCGGCGATTTCTGCAAGAACAAAGAGCTCGGCTCCAACGACAGGGTTTGCTTCAGGGATTTATCGAGGATCTGGGACCGGGAGGATCCCCTCCGTGCGGGGAATTCGGCGAGGTCACCTCCGCGGGAAGGGATTTCCAGCCGATTGGCAGGTCAAGATCGACTTGGAACTTGAAAGTCGTGTCCTTTGAATCGGCTCGCTTGACCCTGGCTCACGTCGCCGGTAAGGAGTGCAAACAACGTCACCCTCCCGAGACTCGACTAACGATTTCGAGGGCATTAACAGGCATCGCTACAAACACTCTCCCAATTAATCTCTTCTAATCTCCACAGCTGCCGCGGCATCGCCAAGAGCTTGGGATCTCATTGATGGCAAGCTGTCCCTCGACTTGTCCTGCGAGTACCGATATCCGCCCGTACGATGTTGCCGACAAGTCGCTTGAACAACATCGTGTACGACATGAATACCTTCGGAATCTGCGTCGTGGACGGGTTCCTGGGCCCAGCGCGAGCGGAATCCGTGCGGAAGGAAGCAATCGGCATACTCAATGAGAATAAACATCTGTTCAAGGTTGGTTCCCGGGCTTTCTGGGAGATATTCCTCTCACCCGAGATTTCCGAGTTCGGAAATGACCACCAGCCCCGATCAATGCCGATTCATAACGAGCGGAATCGATCGTGGTGATGATTCGGGAACACGGACTATTTCAGAACGGTCAGCTCATTAACGACACTGCGTCGAGAGGCGGTTTAGTGGTTCGAGGAGATAAAATAGCCTGGCTCGATGGATCCGAGAGCTTTTGCAGTTATACGAACAACTTTACGAGATCCCTGGACTCCGTTATAGCCCATTGTGTTGCCAATGACGCGACGGGGGAACTCGGCCTACACAAAATTAGCCGAAGAACCAAAGCCATGCTCGCTTGTTATCCCGGCAGCGGCACGAGGTAAGTATGCATCTTCGCCGGGAGGATCGGTCGCCGATATCCACAGCAAATGAGATTATCTTGAGGGAAGGAAACAGTTATGCGTCGGTTTGCCGCCCATGAGACAGACATATTCAATTTCGTGATTGTAAATAATGGATCAGGAAGAGCTCCCTCTCTTTCCATGATCCCGTATTCCTTAGGGCCTTCGCAGGTCGCTGCTAATGTTCGGCTTGGGAATCCCATCGAAGTTCTCCTTCGTTCAATCAGATACTTCAAGCATGTGGACAATCCGAACTTCGACGGACGTAAGATCTCGTGCGTGTATTACCTGAATAAGGATTGGGACGTCGAGAGAGACGGCGGAGCTCTCAGGATTTACCCGGAGGAACACCCGGATCAGGTTCGAGATGATCGCGAGCTTTTCTCCCGCTTCCCTTTTCCTAGATGCACTATCGATACCAGCTGAACGCTGTATCAGAATACCTACCGCCGGTTCTGCTCTTCTCTCGAGATGCGAGAGAGCAGCTTCGATTTCTGACCTTTGTGTCGGACCCCTGTATTCGTTTGAGAAGGGGTCCTTCACAGATGCAAATACCATCTCATATTGTCGGTCCATCTGAATACGCGAATTCGCCTTACAGATGGCGACAGTGCACCCAATCCTAGACCGCCTCGTTCTCTTCTGGGCAGATCGACGGAATCCTCACGAAGTCATGCCCGCAGCCCGATGCCGGCTCTCTATAACGTTGTGGTATTTCGATGATAACGAACTCGCGATGCAGACCTGTATAAACTCAGCGCTCCAGCAACGCATCCAAGATATGGAACCGTTCTCCCAACGAGATGAGGGATGAGTGTGATCGAAGTGTGTACAAATAGACAATCCGTCTCGACATGCAACGTGCCTATCCTTTCTGCCGCACCGGGAGTTGCAAAGTGACTGTTGTCCTGCACGGCCAAAATAGGACGACGAGGAGTTTCAGCAGGATGCCGGAGAATTCTCCAGCTTGATCATCGTTCCCAGATCTCAAACTCCAATAGTCCTGCATTTCCCGGAGCATCCCGGCCACCATGGTATCCGAGCTTGATTTCCAAGGTAACAGCCGCTCCGTCAGACATGTGCTGTTACCGACAGCAGAGGCGGAGACTCATTCGGGCCCCGACACAAATTAACACGCGAATGTCCGCTTACGGTGTTGTGTGTCCACGCTCAGGTTGACAGCATCCGTCCGCCCATCCGTCAAGGCCTGACAAAGCAGAGAAACTTTTGGATGACTCGTCCAAGCATGGAGATAGGGTTCCATTGAGCGGAACATCATACGACGAGCCATTTGTACAGGTTGAGGAGCCCGGGATACATGATGAGCTCTTCGCAGGTGAACAGACGAATTTCGTGATGCGAGAAGAGAAGCCGAAAATTCTCGCATAGAATCGAGGACAATAATTGAGTTGAGAGCCTTCTGGCGAAATCGCTCCTGCTCCGAGAGGTCTACGGGGTCGGCGCTCCTGCAGTTGGAACGACCTTCTCCCACAGAAAAACTTATTCTGCTCGACTCATTTGTCCCTCGCTGCGTCTGTCCCGGTCGCTTCTGGTCGTCTCTGGCGAGTTTATTCATGACTGCTCCTTTCCCATCCTCTGAGGAGGAGGTGAAGGAAAACCTCGGCAAGGAGACAGACGAGAAGAGCTCTATTGTGAGTTTCCCTGTGTTCCCGCGCTCATTTAAATGAAAAAGTATTCGCAAAGAATGGCGATGACTCTGGCGCAATTTGCGCCTGGGACTTCTCCTAACCCTCGTAGCTGCTTCGGGAAGAAAAGGAAAAACCTTGTCGAAAGAGCAGCTTTGTACACTTTATTCAGCAGCTTCGGCAGGTGTAGAAACTCAAGCGAGAGATCCTTACATGACTAGCGGTGACTGCCGCGAAGGCAGGATGCCCTTTTTGTTCCAGACGGCCCTGGTCCTGCGGTATCTCGTGCAACTCCCAACATACGGAGAGAGAGTCTGACTCTCAAAATTGAAGAATCTGAGCCTTGGTCTCACCAAGCTTTCTCGACGCCAATGTTCCAGGCACTAAACTAGACATTTGTCAATCTGATCATTCTCCCGGAGTCCAAGATGGCGGGCTCGGTGCATGGCTGAATTAGAAAACTCGCTGATTCGGTGGGGCTCTGCATTCATAATAATTTGTATAATCGAGGAGATTCCCCTGGCGGCGGCCTCCGGCCGAATGGACTTTTGCGATTTTGAAACAACGTGAGGTGGGAAGCCCCTCAAATCAAAGAGACGTTTTCTACAGATACTAGATAGTCGTCCGCATTCGCAAGCTCGGAATTATTCACTCGGGAACTCGTACGCTGACTCGCTGACTTCCGGACGCTCTTCAAAGTCACATCTACATCTTTGAACGCGTTCAGGAGGAAAATTGCGCATATCACGGTGAGGAACCCCGATAAAAGACCAACGATATCTCTGGCGGGCATCATCGTGAACTCGTTGAATAAAATTCCGGAAGCGATTAGGACAAAAGTTGTGAAAAAAACATAATATATGGGGGTGACGATTGACGTATTAAATATATCGAGCGCTTTGTTGAGATAATTCATCTGTACAGAGACGCAAAGCGTCACAGATATGAGACAAACCCACGTCACCCAATGGAACATCTGGTTGTTCCCGGCCAATGTTTCCCTGATAGCGAGGCCTAAACCTTTACACGACGTAACCGAGAGACTGCCGATCAGCGAACAAATCAGAATATAGAAAATGACGTTCGTTTTACCGTAGCGGGGCGCATAGATCCAAATGAACGCGCTCGACAGAACAACTACGAATATCACATAGAGGACGAACTGTGGTTCGAGGAGCATCATCCCTAAAATTCGTACGTAGTTGACGTTGCCTTCCGGTGGGCTATGGAGAACAATCACGGTGGATCCTAGAACGCAGAGGAGGCAGCTGACTTTTCCCAAGAGGTTCAGTCGCTCATCGAGATAATATGTCGAGAGCACGGCGCTCACCAAAACGCTCAAAGCACCCAGCGGAGTGACTAGAGACGCCGGTGCGAAGGCATAGGCCGCGAAATTCGCTGCCTCACCCACGCCCATAAGGATCAGCCCCGCCCACCACACCTGGAAGAAATGGAATCAGTTGAGCGTCATCTTTCTCAATAACTCCCAAGAGCTATCTGAGGAATTATTCCACCGTGCCCGAGTGTCAGTCACTCCCTCCGTTGAAGACCTGCAATATCCTGGTGGGGGTCATTCAGGTATTGCGGTCGATTGGCAGCCATGAGCCACGAGAGACTCTCTCCTATAGTCGGAACCCTGTCTCTGAACCCATGATTTTCTTTGCATTGGCATCGTTCCCTCTGCTCATCGACTTCGATCTTACCCAGTCCCGTAGATATCCAAAACCGCCAGCTCCGGCTCGCGTTCTCCCGAATTTCGAGAGTCTCAGGAGACCTTTTTTCTTAACGATGAAAGATGATCCAATAAAAAGACTGCTGCTCACGGCGAGCACCAGGCCGACCGTGAAGTTCTGATGTTGTGCGGGAAGCGTCTCAGCGTCCTCGCTCGCTGAAGCGTGCGAAAGCATCGAAACTTCTGAAACCAAAGGCTCAATCAAGCTTTTCGGATCATGGAAACAAGCGTCTGTTTCTCTTCAATGGCATCATCCAGCCGAGCAGAAGATTTCCGATTCGCAGGATAAATCTAATTCGCCTGATACAAAGCTGCCAAGCGAATCGGAACCGGTCCAAGTACGTCCGAGAGCGCTGCTCGTTTTCGCTCTGTTAGGGAAGGCAACTCGACCAACTCCGAGTAGGAGAGCCACTATTTCAAACTATCTCTGTTATTCTGACGGAGCGGAACTGACGCAAACAGCACGCTCGCTGGCAATGGGCCAACCTCAAAAAACCTATTGGGTCCAAGAGACCCTCTCGTAGAGTGCTCTTGGGAGGGGAGGGGCAGCGAAAACAGCGTATGGCTGACTGCGTTGATTTGTAGTCGACAGCGGTAAGTGCCTCTGCTGTGGCACCTGCTCGCATTAAAATCAATCGACCGCTCCGCCCACTATGGAAATAAGTCTCGGTAAGGAGTAAGATTATCGCTTATAACAGGAACCCGCATTTCAGTGACCAGGAATTGGAGAGCGGAGGAATGTCGAAATCTTCCCGATAATTAGAGCCACGGAGTGTCGACCGAAGAACGGAACGAACGTTCTCCCTTGCTGACAGCTTTCTCCTGCTTGCTTTCACTCTGTGCCTGACGCCGATTGCGACATTACGGAGCGACGAGCGGGAAGGCGACATCGATCATCGCCCGTCGGGGCGGCGCAGACTCTTGCATCCGCAATATTTCGCCCTCCGCCGACATCGAGGGCTTCGAAGAATTCCGCGACGTCCTCAGGCTGCTCTGACGTCGGCAGTCGAGCAGGCGACGAGAAATCCCCTCAGACGCTTGTCTCCCTCACGAGGCTTCGAAAAATGACGGATGAGTTGTCGAACATATCCTCATTGAAAAATTTGGAGATGGAGTATCAATATCCACTCTTTGAGCGAAAGTTGATTGTGCGTCAAGTTCAAGCTCAGAGGAGGAGAGTAAATATTTTATCCGGTCGGAGGTTGCGAGGTGATCACGCGGTAGACGAGCGACGACGACGCTGCGTGGCCCTAGATTCCCCCAGCGTCCTTAGGAGCTGTCGAGTCTTAGCGTCATTCATAATCAGTGACGTCATCTTGAATACCGCCTCCGACCACGGGATTATCAAGGGGTTAGCGCGTCGCGAGACGTGATGGACGCCGGGATCATCCTCGCGCAAGAGGGTTGGCATGCTGCTGGAATCCCTGTTGCCTTAGGCATGCACAGGTCCGAGGCCGGGGTTCACCAGAATTCATTCGCATCCAGGGTCTGATCTCGGGGGCGGTTTCTTGATCGACGTGCCGGGAATTTGAAGCTCGGCTGCAGGGGTCCGCTCGGACACGGAAAAAGGTTCAAGCGCTCATCGAGGTATTTGCTATACCGTGAGCATAGCTGACCACCAATCAGCGCTCCTCGAGAGGCGTCTCTATGGGAATATCGCTCGACCCGGGTGAGGTCGTACCTCATCTTTCGGCCAAGAGGTTCCTCCGACGATTGGTGGGTTGCCCGAAAATTCGAAAAACGGCGCGGCAGTCTCCGACTTCGTCCCTCGATGAATCGAAACTATCGTCTTCATCATATTCTCCGGATTCTCCGGGAAGAGGAATCGAGTTCCGCAAAGAACCTCGAGCGGAAATTTTCATTCGCCATGGGGATGCTTCAAAGCCTGAATGAACGGAAGCGAGATCTCGTCGAGGAAATTCGACGAGATGCATGCTAGCTGTCCATCAGACTTCGTTTTCCAATTGAAAAGAGAACCCTCCTGCTTTCTCTAGCCTCTCGTCGCAAGATTAATCAACGGGTTCGCAAGCTCCCGACGGTACTTGTCCGACAGATGCACTCAGGATATATTCCGGGAGTCTCCCTCTCCGCGGAAGGACTCTTGGTAGACTATGGTCGATGATGATCGAAGAATATTAATTTGAGGAGAGGCAAGAATTTCTCTTGTGCCATGTCAGATGCGAGCAGCCCCCCGCAGAACAGTTGGTCGTCGGAAACTCTATGTTACGCTTTGATCTGTCTCTCGCGCTGGCCAGGACAAGGACAGGCGTTCCGCGTGGGAGAGAAACGAAATCCTCGCGTTCCAAGTCTCATCCTGTTCCCGATAATCGAGAAAGCCTGGATACCCGAGAATGCCGGTGCACGCGGCGAGCGCCAGCGATTGATTGGGTCGGGATACGATGTAGAAAAAGGGAAACCCAAGATCTTCCAGATTCCCGAGCGCCAGCGTGCCGTACGTTTCACTTGACACAGGCTGTAAATCATTTCCCCATAGATTGATACGAATAGTGAAGAGAGCCTTTTGATTGCTAGGAGCAGAATCAGTGATGCTTCATGCGGCGTCCGGGCTACTCTAATAAGATTGCATGTGCCTCGCGAAAGATGCTGAATCTGTGAGTCATCGCTAGAAATGAGTGACAGGGAGTTTGTGATGTTCGAGATGTCCCAGAAGGGTTTCAACAGAACTCTGACGGGACCCTCGACTCGCAATGACAGCCATAATCCCTAGGACGCCCCGACTCCTTGACCGACTTACCCATGACGACCGCATCGATTTACAACACGGGTGATGAATCACGGACACATCCCGGGGCAGCACCGATTTCAAATCTCTCACGATTGGCGCGCCGCTTACATCGAGAGTTTATGATGTGACGCTGAGAATCAAATTCGAAATTTGTTCTGACAAGATCCTTATCAATCAGCTGTCAGGAGAAAGCCGTCAGAATCGAACACGGAGCATGCTTGCTTATACTCTCTCCCTCTTGTTTACCGACAACGACGCTTGTGATTTGTGCTGAGCGTGAACTTCAACACCTCGAGATCGCTAGAAATTCTGACTTCCTCCTGATCTCCGAGAAGAGATATTCTCGTCCATCCGCCAATCGAGAGGCGACCATTCGGTGATTCGGAACTGGGAAATGTGAGGTTGTTCCCTCGGCACCTCATCCTGAGGGAGATATTCCAGGCTCTGTTTTCCCTGAGCGCCGGGACCAATCGGAGCACAAATCTCTCGTCCAGCAGGATGACGATGACTCCTAGTCCTTGAAAACGTACTCCGGCCGTGGAGTGCTCCGAACGACTGCGAGCAGTTCGAGGATAAGGGAGGACGGGGCAGTGTGACTCGGTCAGAGAACTTCTTTCCGCCGCCACGGCCGGTGATGAACCTTCTTCCTCTCGAACAGCTGATTCCCTCTTGCCCAGTTTTCGGACCGTCAATTCCGAGTGGCGGTGCCAACGTCGCTCGGACAGAAAGCTGTTGCTTTGCTGCTACTTAAATATGTTGTCGACCAGTGATCCAATACTTTAGATTGTCCTCGAAGACCTGTGCTCGCCACGTTGTTCTCCGATAAAACTCCGGTCATAGACGTTACCGCGACTACCGGAGCGTTGTTCCGAACGCCAGCGAAGTTTAATCCTGATGGACTACACGGAGATCATCGCTAACTTGGCGACTGTGGCCACGGTGATCAATTTCGCCAGTGGAGTGTAAGTTCGGAGTATGGACAGTAAGCTGCGGAATCTGCCGGGCTCTAGAGCATTCAGTCGATTCCCTCCTCCCTGATAGTTCCGACTGGAGCTGGGGTGGAGCTGCTTGCGGAAGGATTGGAAGATAGAGGATTGGAAGCGAGGGAGCTCTGATCGTCATCTGGAAGCGATTCGGGAGCGCTAGGGGCGCTCCACGATTCGGTTCATCTCTGATGAATGGTCGTTCCGTTGGGTTATTCCGCTGAATCCTGTCACCCGAAGCTCCAGGGAACCGCCGTTATTCGAAGATGAAGGGGGCTCTTGGAAGACCGAGCTAGGAATGATTTGAACCTTATGCGCTATGAGCTTCCGCGGAGCCCGGTCGAAACTGAGCACCGTAGTCTGCTGTGTAGTTCCGATCTCCCCGCTTTAGCACTGTGATACCGTTTTGGCAAAGAATCGACTGGCCCGCTACATTTGCTCCAGCGGTAGTCGTACGGAACTGGCTGTTGATGAGCTCAAGGTCTCCGGGGCTCCAGAAAGCGAGGCTACCGTTCCGGCGAAAGTTCCACAGAAGTTTTTATTCCTCGGCGGCCGCCAAGTGGGTCGCAACGTTTCTCCGCCGTGTCCCGCTTAAGTTCCCCATGCAGTTTTCGTTTCGTTCCCTGATGATCCTGCTCATCCGTCGGATCGACGAGCTGACTATAAGCATGGTCAGCAGTCCGTTTCGCTGGGAAGCAGTATTCCTCACCCACGAAGCACCGATACAGCAGGGGGAAGAGGGGTTTACTCCGTGACTACTCACTTAGACCATTCTGAACCCTCGAGTACGAGACCCCGTCCACAGGTTTCGAGCATATACGCTGCGATCGGAGGCTGAAGCTTCGCATCAGTCTTCTCCGGGTCGCGAATTTTCGACTCTATGATTTATTTTTCTTGGCCGGAATTTTCCGCATGATACTCTCGCTGTCCACATGTAACTGGATATTGATAGTGAAAACATCCTCGCAGAGGAAATTGCTACCTTTAGAAGATCGTGAACCTTGACTGATGGCGTTTGAAGGATCGAGTCGGTGACTCGCTTGGAAACTCTTGCGCATCACGTAACATGCGTGCGATTCGCCTCACTCGATCAAGGGAGTAAGCGAAGCCTTCGCAGCTCAATATTCGCTAGGCACGAATATTGAGATTCCCGCCGCCGAGCCGGCTCTCAAGTCGAGCAAATTATGTGATACCTAGTCGCGTTCCGATGCGTGCTATTGCTATATGGGATGCCCATCAGCTTGATGCTTCCGGCTCATCCTTTCTGCTCTCGGATCAGGGAGAACCATGCGAGTCCCCGAACAGAAGTTTGTCCAGCTCCTCTGCATAGTCTCCTCGATGCCATGCTCGCCATGGCCTCCATCATTCACAGGAAGATCCTCCGTCTTGCTCTCACCCTGGGTCATTAGCGAGCAATCGGCGGGAGCCGCAGTTCGCCGGCGACGGGCTCTTCAAGTCTCCATGATCTCGATCTCGATTTCCCCCGGAGCATGTCTGTGGTGCTACTTCTGTTCCTATAACGGGGAGCTCGACCTGCAGTCACGCCCTCTTGGATGGTTTCGGAGGTCCACAATCTAGACGACCATAATTTTCAATTTCCTTAGCGAAGATGATGATTGACTCAGAAAGTCTTAGCCGATTCGGGCGCGCTCATCTAGTCATTGTCAGTCCATCTGCGGGAAGTGGAACGCTATCGGGACATTCAGAGAATGGTTTTGAAAACTAAGCTCTGTGAACTGGAAGCATCGTGACCGGGCTACTAACTTACAGTTTCCGATCCACAGGGAAATATGCTACAAAATCTACAGACAGAACTCGACTGTCGATTGCACACCTGCTCCATTCATGATGGGAATGCTCTGGTAGGTACCAAGACCGGAAAGTCACGCAACCTCACCGGCCAGAGGCTCGCGATCGATTTCTGGAATGTTGTCACGAAAATAGCCGTATCGGGAAAGTACTTTATAGTTTACTGTAGTCTGGAAATACTATATCTCTCAGCGGATAACCGTTCTCCACGTTCTCCCTCCTTAGTTCCTTCCTCTGGTTCCAATATGGCATCCGGAAACCCGACATGACCGTCACGTCGGTTAACGTGTTCGGCTTCACGCTATGGACAGCTTTTTTGTTTTGGTTCTATCTCTATTCCAAGCCAAAGGTGCGTTGAACATCGAATCGCCTGAAAATCGATATTCACTCAAGAAAAGACACGGAGGCTCAGATTTCATGCACATCCCGTTCCGTGGATTCCCGGAGGACCTTATGGAGTCAGGCTCGCGCTCCTCCCATCTTCCATCAACTTCTGATGGTTCCCGTTCCTCCTTTCAGAGTCATCTCAATACCCACATAGGCATTCTTCTGATTGTTATTTTTGGAACGCATTTCCTTCTCTTTTACGGGCTTGAAGATGTCGATACCGCATTGAAGGTCGCAGGATACATGGGCGTTATCTCATCACTCGCGTATTTCGCTTCACCATTGCTGCTTCTGGTAAGTTTCTGCCTACGTGAGTCTCGTGTTCCGGCTGCGGATCTATTTCCATGGGTAGCTCCATAAGAATGCCAATGCCGACTGCAACATGGTGTGCCATGGTCCGGCTCCTGCCTGCTCTGGATGTGGGAAAAATACTACAATAGATCTCTCCTTCTCCAGGCGAAAGTTCTCCAGACGCGGTGCTCACAGTGCCTCCCATTACCATTGATAGTCTCTTCGTTTTGCACAGCGTCTCTCTGGACGCTGTACGGGCTGCTGCGCGAGGACTCCTTCATTGTTGTAAGTCACAGTGGGGAACTTTCTACGAAGATTCTTGCGATACAACCCACTGTTCTCCTTCCCGATTTATTCTCGTCTTTCTCGCCATATCGCTCTACGCTTACCGCGGAGGATATTTCACCATTCGATCTGAAATCGGTCTTCATCGCTAGGTTCCCAATGGAATCGCGTCCGTGATCACGTCGTCCCAGCTGTTTCTGATCTGTATCTTCCCCCGGAAACCCCAGGGGGACCTGACGAGACTCGTCATATGAGATCCGAGAGCTCAAGTGATATGAAAAACATTCCCTACGCATCGTTGGTCCGCATTAGCAAGCGAAAAGGACAAAGCGAAAATGTACAGAATAATATACGTATTTATTTTCTACATGTGATACGGGAGCGATCCTCGACCTCATTCCGCATAAAGAGGAAGATGTTTTTGCATTGGCCAAATTCGTCGTGGAGTATTTTCGCGGACTCTGACCGATGTGCAGGGAGATATTTTCTGACAGTCTGGACCACATCGACGCATGCAACCCCCGTCAAGGTTCCAGGAGACGACGTCCCCATCGGGGATCCATCGAGGAAGTTTCACATTCGCCGTTCGCTAGCCGGAAACGGGATGCCTGTACGGAGATCTAGAAACGTCAGTCCGTGACTCTCGCTCGGCCTCTGCCGTATATCCCGGAGGCGATGCGACGATCGTCAGGTATTCCGCAAAGACCCACACTTCCGGAGCAGGGGCAGCGGTAATTCCCTCCTGATTTTGAAGTTCTGACAGCGTGCGCGGGGAGGCCTCGTGTCGGATCCTCGAGGAGAGACATCAGGTTAGGGTAAGATGAGATGGAGCGAATATGGACCCGGCTTGCTCCGATAACGACCTTCGTGCCCCTTGCGTTTCTCCGCTGAAACCCGTGAGACGGTGTTTCCGCCGGGATAGATCTTCCACCGCCCGTCTCAGTCGAAGATCGGGCTCGTCAAGCAGTCGATTCAGGGGACCGAATATCGCTCGAACGAATTCGCTGAAAACCTGAACCTTCTTCTATGCTTTCCAGATCATTGGGGAGGAAGGGGGTGGGGGCGATACAGAACTCGCATATTCAGAAGTCTGTGTGATCATATCTTGGCTTCGGCGTGGATTAAACGGTGCCGAATGACGAGCATCGCAATGGATCTCGCGCCGCCGAGTTCGGGACACACCGGTGGGCCCGGCAAGAGCGTCAGGCATCTCTCACGGCGCGACTTGCATCCTGGAGTGAAGAGCGTGTACACATAGCGACCCGTAGTGATGGCTTGGTGAATTGCTTCAGTGAGGCGAGTCTGCGTGGGTGTGGTATCCCTATTCTGAAACGGAGGCGATTTGGGAAACTCTCCTTACAAATAGGAACATTCCAGTCGCTATCAAGGGAGTGTCATGCATCGAGGGGTGCGTAGGCGAGCAAGGCTTAATTACAATGACGATGCGGATTTTTTTTCCTCTGGTCTCTCGGGTCATGGTTCGAAGCTTTCTACCGTCTGACCCCTCCGGGATAGAGAGGTGACGGAGAATGGTCTGCCCGACAGATTTTATATTTTTTTGGTAAAATAAAGGATGAAATGGTAGTTGATGCCTATACCTACGATTTCCATACGGTTTGTGTCGCATTCGTCTCTCTGAATGAGCTTCCGGCCTCAACAATACTTCTCCTCGGAACTTCCGTAGGCTCAGGGATTTATTTCACCCAGATTTCGCTTCTCAACTTGGAAGACGGGTCTTGGAAAGGGAGAGCTCCAGGGAGTGAGACCTTTTCTCCGAGTATCCTATTCATCCACAAGCGCCTAGACAGACGGTCTCGGGATAGCATCCATTCTCGGAGTTTCCTTCGTAATTCCAGCGCCTTGCTGGAACTGTTCTCTTGATTTAATTTCTCATGTCGTCCTTCCTTACGATTTCTCACCCCCATGAGCTGGAGCGAAGTGCTACAGCTGTCCTCGGCGGTGGACTCCGTCGAGAATTATTTATTGTGCGCTTGCTGTGCTCCCCTTCTTGAAGACCCGATTCGATATACTCCGAACCGTCAGGAAGAAACCCGGGCACCCGGTATTCACACGATCTCGAGGATCCGAAGACGGGTCTATGTGCCTATTCGAATATTTCATCATCTTCCTAATCTCACACATCTTCGAGCAACCTCGATCTGTCGGGTCCTAGCGGAATGCATCGATTCCGAACTCCGCGATAAATTTCGTTTCTTCTCTTAGTTCGGAGCTGATCGTTCTCCCTGGTCAGGAACCTCTCGCGAATGGCCTGCGCGGAGCGCGTTGCGGGCTCGTGCCTCCCAGTCCTCCACCTAAATGTTCTGCCCCTCGGGAAGTCCGCTTCAGACGTACTCCATGTGCATTGCATTCTAGGTGAACGGAATTTCCGACAGATCTATCAAATGCAATGGCTCGTGGTCATCCAGAGTGCCGGTCGCAATGTTTCAGGCCGTGGTCGTTCCGAGCATCAGGGACTGGCTTGGAACGTCGGCGCGTCTTCCGAAGGCTTATACCTCAACATCAGGAACGGGGACGGAGATTAGGGATCGAGGGCGGGTGAGGGGCGGATTAGGGATTCACACTCCAGTGGAAAGACGGATCGTTCCCAGGTCGGGGCGGTTCGTACTTATCGTCCGGGAGGGGAAAGCCTGCTGCATGCCTCAGGAGGACAGCCCAGTCCTTCACGCGCTTCAATCAGGCCTGGTCGGGAGGGAATGTTTTGGAGAACACCGAAAGGTATAATGAATGGTGGATTTTCGTAGCCGATTACCCCTGCAGCCCTCCTACTTTAGCGGAGGTCAACAGCGGTGAGGCATCAAGGGATGGTGCACAGCTCGCATTCAATTGACGTATTCCAGGACGAGTAATCATTCCGCTGGCGCAAGAGATACTTTGGCCCGACTGCACACGGGAAGCATATTCACGAAGATACCAGACGGTTGGAGCAGATGAAGTAACTTTCACAATGACTCATCACAAGGTCATAGGCCAGGCCTTACAGCCAATGATGGACCGTCGATGAATCATGATTATTAGAGAGAGCTCTTCTGACATGGCAGAAGCTCTTGATAGTGTTGTGGTGTAAAGCGGTAGGTATTGGAACATCAAGGAAGACACCGTCGAGTTCACCTGGTTAATACTCAGCTCGTACTTGGCTCGTACTTTGCTCGTACTTAGCTCGTACTTTGCTCGTACTTGTTTATTCTGGGATCGGTGGCTCCTTTTATAGTTCTCTAGAGCAAGGGCCACTTTTAACCTTGACATCTCGATATCCGCTATGCTGACTCAGAATCGTTGTAATCTGGTTAGCAGTTTTCCAGTCTACGCGTTAGGCAGGAAAGCCGACCGCGACAGATAGTCCGATCCACCGGACCCAATGTTTACGTGACTAAGGGGAACACTCAAGCCGAGCCCACTGTAGATCTTTGGCGAAACGAAGGGGGGAAAGAAGAGGTTTCGTTTTTGATCCATCTGATCCACGGATAGGATATCTCCCCAATTCTGCGTAGAGCCTGTCTATCGAGGAGGGGTTTGTGGGGAGTTCGTGGAGTGTCGCAGCCAAGAGCCCCTACATGACGGGTCTGTCCCCGGGTCGACTCTGATCTTTCACGAAGATTTTTTCCCGAATTCCTTCGGTCTATCAGCTTCCCCAGATCCGAGCTCAAATTACGGGATCGACACCTTTCGAGAGAAGCCCCAATCAGATTACGCCTTTCCTCTCTCGAAACCTCAGATAACTGAGGTCTTCGCGGTACTCAATGGCTTGAGACCGCTTTCGCGTCTCGGCTGTCGGTCATTGCCAAGCGTCTACGTCACCGTGAGATGTTGAGAATGGGAAACGAGACACAAGACTTTATACTATGATTCTGACTCGAAAGTTTATTCAATTCCGAAATGAATAACAACTTCAAGGATGAAGTCCCAGATGTGATTCTAGATAGAGCTTCCCATGCAATCAGACAAAATCACAATATCACATTAATTGTCTCAGCAGGCGAATGATTTAATTAGATTGCGGCCCGGGAAACCGCAGGAGAGCTCCACCTCTATCAATATCGAACGTGAACTCCTCCAAGAATGCCTTCGCGGAAGAACCAGCTTGTTGAGACGACCCTATCGCAAGCAATGTCTTCGAAGAAAGAAGCTTTCTCACAAATGAACGCAGGCGACGAACTCGGGACCTGTCCAGGTCAAGCTTCTATGATGACGCAGCAGGCCAGACGTGGCCCCGCATTCCCGTTTATCTTTGAAGCCGACGTGTTCCCCCGCCCGTAGTCATCGACGCCTTTGTGTATGACAATCGATCGGTTGATGATCGCGATATCTCCCGTTAATCGCGCGACTGGATCGTTGAAGACGAGCATGAACGGTATCCCGGTCACTTCGAAGTTGCCCCAATCACCGATGTGTCTTATCTCATCATGAGGTCCTCCATGATGAACATTGAATGGGTTATAGTGTCCGCCGGATTCCTCACAATGGTTCCCCGTGCTGCCGAACTCGTGCACGTGGATTGCGTGCGTTCCGAACGGCACTTCGTGGAATAGTCCTTCGACCCGCGTCCCATCATCGAATTCTTCCAGCACAAGGGTCCCGTTCATGGATCCGACGAGAGCGCAAGTCGCACGAGCCACCACACCATTGTCCTTCTTCGCGTAGAAAAAAACTGCGACGAGAACTGCGATCAGGACGATGATGACGAACAAGCCCAGTGCGCACAGTATCTTCCTTCTGCCTGAAGATCCCATCGTAGGTCCCTTCTCTACGTGTATCAGCCTCTGACGACGAAACTCTGTCGTTCCTCGCCACGCGAGAGAGGTTTGCGAGTCAGACGCCGGGAGCCCTCTCCGGATTGGAATCTCACGCAGTTTACAAAGTAATTCTAAAATCGCGGACTCCGGCGTCGCGTCGTACGCTTATTTTGAGAATCATCTGATTTTTTCCGAAACACTTTTTCCTGCCTCAGAGCTCTAAATACTCGGAGCCAGAGGTGCCTGTGACGGACGGTGACCGTGAAGTCTAAGAAATCAGAAATCGCGAATTCATTATCTGAATCCGTTCCTGAAGACCAATGAGCTCAGATTGCATCAGAAATGCGACGGCCCGGAACAGAGGAGCCCGCTCAGTCTACAGCGACACTCGCGAAGCTCCATAAATATTTGGCTTCCGACGATTCAGTTAGCTTCATTAGATTGTGCCAAGTCAGGTTCTCCATCGCGCTCCGTAGTCATTCACTCTGCAGATGCTTGAGGACTCTCCGAAAATTTTCTTTTGGGCCCGTGGATGGCGCCACCGGCCATAGGACCGGCGAACGGTGCGGACACACCGACGGTCGCTCTCATTTCATGGGAAGTCCTGCGCGATCAAAAATAGAAACGATGCGAAGCTTCCCGATGGAAACGCCCGAGAACTTTCATCCGCCAATCAAGATGAAACCTAACCACACCCGAACTGTCCTCGGGGTATAATTTTGGTAACTCTGGATATTTCCTGCGAGCGAGACTCGGTCCTGGAAATGAAACTTTTGGAGCGCAGATGAAGACCCCAAAGAAAATGCGCAATTCGATTCCGCAATCATTTCCGCGGGAACTTCGAATAACTCTCCCCAAGGGTTTCCCCTGATCTCCCGAGAGGTTTCCGGCTGTCCCAGCCCCAGGGTCCCAGCAAGGACCTCCCGCATTTTGGACGATGCGCTTCTCCGATGATGCACGATGCTTTTGAATTTGGCATCGTAAATTCTACCGGAGGGAATAAAACGTTCTCCCTGGGTGTGAAAGATCCCATGGAGAGACGACTCCGATCCGACAATAAGCATAGTGGCTCCTCAACCAATCGCCTGATATCTTATCGCCATACCGAGCCGATAATACATTGGTGTAATGAGGGAAGCGCGGAACGGAACCTCTCGCAGAAAACTTCGCGAATCAACGATTGTCTACTCCTTGTTCAAGTTCTCAACCCTCGCGAGCCCGATATTAAGCGTCACTGGGATGGTCAGAGAGCGAAAAACTTCTTACGATCTTTCAGTCACCTCGCAAACATCTCTCTCGAACAAGGTCCATCCAAGCGACAATGTCGAATGACGGCTTGAGAACTCTTTCGAAGAAGAAAAAATCCAGCTCCTGACGACATCAATGCGAGCCGCATGTTTACACTAGTTCGGAGCTCTTGAGTTTTCTTTTCCCTCGCTTTTCTGCTTCATCTTCTTTAGCCAAGTTTTTGAGGTTCTCTCAGTGTGACTAGCGGTCAGGTTAGCAAGCTATGTATGTGGAGCTACGAGAGGACCGACAGAACAGAAAGACCACTCGACTGAGGAGGCCATTTGGCGTTTGACGCTCTGGGATCTCTGCTCGGTAGTTTGAGGACGAGTCGTCCACTTTGTCAATCTACTGTTCGTCGACCACCGTAGATGATCTTCTCGCCGAAGCACACAGCTTGTTGAGAGAGACGAACGCATCTGCCAGCGAATTCGAAATCTTCTTCTCCTGCCTCAGGGTTCGTCCCTACTTCAGAAGCAGAAGAGTCCCACGATCGGGGAGCGCGGAATACTTCTCACAATCTTCCAGTTGTTGGATCTGATATATCGATCCATCAACCAATAGATTTTCGCAGTACTTCTTGCCGTACCCCGTGAGTGCAGCTACGTTCGCAGTGTAGTCATACCTCAGGCATCACTTCGGCGAACTTACATGGCGAGCTCGGAACTAAGAGACCTATTCGCGTCGAGACCAGACTCGCTTTCGAATCCTCTCGGTTCTGTGTTTTCATTAACGTGAAGTTCGTGTATATGTAGTGTCATCGGCTATCTTTTTCTTTCTCTCTCTCTCAACTCTCATTCACTGGATTCTCCGCTGAGCAAACTCACCGCTATTGACACTGGCGAGACCCAGAGGAGACAATGAGTAGCATTGGGCATGGTCCGGTCGCTCGCAAGAACAAACTGGACAGATTTCGCTTCTCTGGACCTATTATTATCGACAACATCCGTTTCTTATCTATGAATAAGGCTTCATGCTGGGAAACCCGAGGAGTATAGCGACGCCCGAGGTGCGAGACCGATGAGAAGCGGACCGCAGAATCCATCGAAGGATACGGTACGCCCCGTCGCATACGAAAGCCTTCGTTTTTCCTCGACTTAGAGACAAAGAAAAGCCATGCCGAAGTTTAACTTGATGAAGTTAAGTGCAAGCGACGTGCGCTTGTCTCGGAGGCGCCAAGTACTCGATGTCGTCTTGTTGTCGTGGACAGCAGCAAAGCTTTGTCCGTGAGTGATATTGAGAGCTCTTCTTCACTCTTCAGCTGAGCAAACTCTTCACGAGGGGGCATGCGCTCATCTTTGCGCATTGTGCCGTCTGTGCCGATGGCCAGGCAGCGAATCCAGCAGAGAGACGGGCATCCCTCGTCTCATCAATCCGTCAATCCACCCCTCACCTATCCACCTGATTCAATCGCTATTTCTATCCATTCATCTCGAAAGGTCACTCCGTCAAGTCCGGCGAGCATCGAGCTCCCCAAGAGTATCGCGGGAGAAACGGCTCCGAAAACGATTTGAAGTGGCCCGGAGGCCGCACCGCATGACGGCGTGAGTAGTACCTCGATGTCCATCGCCGGCGCGATCGATCTGCGTCGGATACCTGAGACCGGAGAATAGGTTTACGGGAGCCGTAAAAACGCAAAAGGGTGAATTGACCGGAAACCATTGACCGGGAGTAGAGAACCGTCCTCCCGAGGGTTAGTTTTTCTTCTGTCAAATTCCGGGATAATTAGGTTGCTCTTGCCCACGCGAGCAAACGGCTCGGTATTCGATGAAAGATATTATTGGCGGGCTAATGCGAGGAGCTCAGCTAACTGTTTTCTCGCGCATATTCAACAGCGGTCGCAGCGTTTAGGCTCGACGATGGTGTTTTGTTCTCGGTTCACACGACAACGATGTAATGTCAGAGCACTTATGTTCTCACATTTCGGCTCCAGTGCGCAGTCTTCGGAGCAGCATTGTCGAGTCGTCGTCGGATAGCGTTTCTCCCGCTTTCGTGGGGAGTCTCAAGAGCTCTGGAGGGCGCTGAAGAGCCGCTGCCGCCGCGGCGGCCTGCCAGCCGGCGAGCCTGCCAGCCGGCGAGCCTGCCCACCCGCCCAGGGTCTAGTGGGCCCCTGAGGTTTGGTTTGTGAGGTTTTTTCGATTCGATGAGAACAGGACAAGATGTCGCCGTCGACGATGTCGAGCTCCAAGGGTAAAACCCAGATTACTCTCCACCAAAGGTGGACAGAGTTGACGGAGTCCGAAGTGGTCGAGGGAGCGAAATATCCAACCGCACCCCGCTTTCGTTGAGCGTCTGTTTTGTCGGCGCTCGCTAACGAAGCTTTACCAAGATTAACGAACGCATCACTCGCCTCGAGCTCGGGGCTCGAGATTTCTCGTACGGACAATCCGAGTCCGTACGAGAATTTTTTTTCCGATGGAATAAGGAAAATAAACCATCAGAACGAGTCGACGCGTGTCCTTCCGTAGAGCTGACCCTCATCGGAGAGAGTCGGCTCGCGAGTGCATTGTGAGTGAAACCAGTGCAAGGTTACGACACGGTCTCGCATCTGGACTGAGCAACTTTCACTTCTGTTAGCTAACCCGTTACAAATTGCTGCTCGGATGTCTTTATTGTAGTTTGCGGTCACGCCCCCTAAAAGCTAATATTCTACCAGGTCGCGAACCGAGTCCCTGGAGTCGGGAGTCAATTTAGCAGCCATGCAAACTTTGTACATCTGAAACTGTGGAAGTTCTGTGCACTGCAGATGTTTACAGTCCGTTCGGAGTCGAGCCAACGTTCGTCATCGAGTCAGGCCGGCTTCGGATGAACAGCTCGATCGAACGGACAGTTCGTCGTCGAGGACATCGGAGCGCCAGCCTAAGGTGGAAGCCGGTGATTGAACGCTAGTTTACTGCCGAACACACCCTTTTCAAAGGTGGATTTGAATCTCTGCGCTTTCGATGCTCTTCGACGACAGTGGCGGCAGCAAAAGCGATTCGCAGCCGTCGGTGAGACAACTGGGAAAGCGGCAGGAATGAAAGTATTCGACTGCGATCAGAATCCAAGACAGAAATTAAACCGCTATCCGACCGAAGGATGCCGAAAGCGTCAGGAGCGCTCCGGGAGGAGACAACCAAATGTAGAGTCCTCGGAGGATATTTAAACCCATCCCCTCGTGGAAGACTACCCATTCTTTTTTCTCTGCCTGTTCTCACTAAACGCCCAACTCAACACCAGGTGGCTCGGATGGAGATCGGTTTGATTCTCCGTTGGATAAATTGCAAACGGAGGAAGAACACTTCAGGCATTTGATTCGATTTACGAACGATTTTTATTTGATGCTCATTTTGATCACAGGGATTAACCCGGGCTTGAAGAGAGGTGCCGCGACGAGTTCCCGTTCGACCAGAACTTTGAGTAATCTCGGTGATGGAGAAACTTCAAGATAAATCCAACCTGGGAGCATTGGCTCAGAACGAGCTCCGCCGATCACTGGAACCCATTCGCGAGTCGCGGTTTGTCTCCTATTCCGTCGCACTCTGAGCTCATGGTCTTCATCAGAGAGTTTTCATGGATGAATTGTTTTGTGTGTTTCGGTCTAGCTACTAATCTCCTCAAAGCTGAAAACTCCCCGCGCTTCTTCGGCTCGAGCTTTAATTCGAACCTATGTCCCCTCAATGAAACTTGGTGAGTCTGCGAATTTCGATGTGTTGCTCCCAGCCTGCGGCAACGTTTCGCATCGTTTCATCGGAGGCCAGAGTCCGATTC